TGTTATTCTTCTCACTTGTTCATTAGTTGCTGTTCAAATAGGGTCCAGTAGTATTGAATTACTAATTTTTTGTTACTCAGAAGTGTGTGAGATATGAATTTTTCAAATAGAAAAAAAACTCAATGACAAATAAGCATGAGTATATGGGAAACTGGAAATCAAGGAAAACATATTGTATGCCTAATATTTAGTTTTTCGGCTCAGGTTCCAAAAAAGGTTGTCCACCATTCATGTCGCGGGCCGGGCCGGTGGAAAAATTTTCACTGGCCCGGCCCGGCTGGCCCGGGTTTTTGTGGCAAATATTTTTAAGAGTTATTTTTATAGGGAAAACTGGATTTTTGGGAACATTTTATAAAAATTTCTTTGTTTTCAGGTTTAGGAAGGGTCATGGGATAAATTTTGTGCTTTAAAATGATTATTTTGACGAAAATGTTTCAAAAATTAACAGAAAAATTTTGAAATATTTGGAACCCGGCCCGGCATAGCCCGCGGGCCGGGCCGGGCCAAGGCTGACCCAGACCGGGCCGAGGTTTAGCAAGTATGTTGTCCACGAAAACCAAGAAAATCGTAAAAAAAACTGTTGACGGCTAAAATTTAGAGTTGAAATAAAAATTATTTGAGAGCTAACACGTATTTTTAAGATGGTAAGTGATCAGCTTTCGAGATTTTTCGGATTTTCGGAACATTTTTGTATTTCCAAATCTTAAGAATTCCGACCAAATCTTTCGCCAATTTCTTTTGAGATTAGAAAAAAAAAGAGATTTGAGATTAGAAAAAAATTCGTCGATTTGTTTATTGGTAAACGACCGAAAAAACGAAAATAGTTTTTTTTTTGCTAACAAGGAAGCTTTTTAGAAGTATAATTTGAGATAATAAAGGGACTTTTTGGCTGAAATAAATATTGTTTTCAATAAATAGTCTTAGGAGTTACTAGATTGGATGTAACCTTTACAAATTCAAAAAATTGTGATGTTGAAATTCTACACACCACCAGTTCAACATTTCTACTCTGGAATGAATGAGAACCAAGAGATTGCTAGAACCGAAAAAAAATATAAAAATGAAAAATTACTTATCGGAAAAAATTATAAATGCTCTCACATGATACAGAAGTTTTTTGCATTCCACGAACTCAGCTCTAATTAAACACATGTTTTTTCACAAGAATAGTGTGTAGACTCCTCGGAATCGCATTAAAAATAGTGTGAAAACAGGAAAAACGATTTAAAAAAACGTTAAAAATACCTATTACATATAAAATTACTGCTTTTGTTTGAAAATCAACAAATTTTTGACGTGCATACTAACTTTTGCCACAAAGAAAATTTTGAATAATTTCAAAAAACTCACCGCCGGATGCTTTTTGATAATCTTGAAATTTCTATCCATTTTGTATAGTGTGGCACCCAAAATAGTGGTGAGAAGAAGAATTTTGAAGTGAAGATGGGAAAAAACAAGAGAAAAAAGGGTGAGTAAATTGTCTCAGTTACAGACGACGCCCTAACATTAACAAGAAGATTTTCATAAATAAAAAATGAAGCGACAAAGAAGTCGTGTGAAGACAGAAGAAGAGACGAAAAGCGGTCAAAAATTACGAAAGTTCCTTTGGATTTTTGCCCACGTCTTCTAAAGAAGCATTCACATCTCATTACGTCTTGCCCCGTGGAAACGAGAAATCCGATCGGATTTGGAAAATACGAGTAAATTTGGAAATGATGGGATATGAAAGAGCTTGGAACAGAAATTTGAGATTCTTTCTTCAGAGTAATGACAAACCTTATCAGATGACACCTCCGACACCAGAATACTTGACCTTGAACGATTTGCGCTCATATTGTAGAAGAAAGAATCTGAAAAAAAGCGAAACATGTTTATCATAATTCGAAAAAGGAGCAAGTAACATGAAAAAATGCGAGCTCAGTGTGTGGAGGCTCTGGTTCAACCCGTTAATGCACATTAATTTGATTGTCAAGGGACCCACCAACCCTAGACACGCGTTTCTCAACCCAGTCTGATTTCATCGGGAAAACTGGATTGAGTAAAAGAAAAAAGAACAAAAGAACGGATTTTGGAACCAGAGTGAAGCTAACAAAAATATGCAAAACGACTAAAAAAGAGCGTTCCTCACGCCGGATTTGTCATTTTCAGATGATTTTCTGTAAACAGGAAAAATATTTTCTGCGTTACGTTTGGAACAAAAAAAATTGAAGTCAGAAAAGAAAAAAAAAGAAAAATCAAACAGCGAACTACCGAGTGAATGCAAAAAGATAACTATAACACACATGTTTATTTGAAAATCGAAGAGGCTGAGATCAGATTTCAAGCAAAACGAACATTGCTTGCTTTTCAGCTAACATGTAAGAGTACAAAAGTATCTGAAATTTGCTCACAACAATATTACTGATTGAACAGACAGGATGAATGAAAAATTAAAATTTTCTAAAATAATTATTTTAGACCTCCAAGAAATCTGTAAAAATCTTGAGGTGGATATGCATTTTTTTTAGTTTTGGTTTTATGAAAAAAACTTGTAGAGCGTAATTACTACTTTTGAAAAATCAACAAGAAAACCATTTTGGAAAACTTTTCATTTTGGAAAACTCTTTTGTTCTCATGGAATGAAAATACTAATTATTAAAAAATAATCGAACTCAGTTTTATTAAATTTCTTATTCGAAAAAAAGTAACGTGGTGATAGAATGGTATAACCAGTGCATTGTAATATAATTTTGAACACAACATTTGCCGGTGCGCAACTCAAAAACTGGAATAGGGTTACAAATTTCCAGCAATGTGTCCAAAAATAAGTTCCAAGAAAAAGCAGTTTGAGAATGACCTTCTTATCATGTGAACCAGAAATTCATTAAAACAATGCTCACTTCATTTCAACACTCCAATCCTCGGTTAGCAAAATGAATCAGTTGATTAGTTGATGGAAAATCGGTTTTCAAGGAAATTATTTATGAATATGTATTGCCTCTGAGAGAAATTCGACGTAAAATCCGAACAATCCACGGTCTATTCGCACGAAGCTGATAACTGGAAAACTGAAGAAACCGAGCAAAGTTGTGGAAATAGTCGCAACAAATATATTGAAATGTAAGCAACCAATTGGCTGAATGCTTACAAAAATTCACCACACAAAATTCAATTGTTACAATATTCCAGCGTCCCTTGACTTTTGAATTTCTGATTTTCATTTCCCGTTTGGACCGCTTAATTTCCAACTATCCTCTTCAAAAAATATTGAATAAATTATTAATACAACAATAGCCTGCTTCGTGTCTTCGACTTTTCAATGATATTTCCTGGGTGATAGAAAAATGAAGAAGTTACATTCTTTCCAGCGCTTACCGTATACTGTTTCAATTAACGTTTTCTCTGTGTTTTCCATCATCATCATTTTTTGACATTTTATAAATGGTATCTGTGAGAAATGAAAAGAGAAAATCATGGAGTTCGGCTATTTTTTGGGTTTTCCAATTTCCGGCCGATCCCTCTTTTCTTACCCTTCATTCGGATGGAAAAGATGCTCATTAATTTTTTTTTGCAGTGCGCTTTCCATTCGGGCAGCTATTCCAACGGATTGCAAGCACCTCTCGATTGTCTTTTCTCTCACTTCTCAAACTCAGAAAGTTCTCAGTTCAATTTTCTCTCGAATTTTGAGTTTTCTTGTGAACGAAAACTCGAAATTTGAATTTCTTTCATCAACCCCAAACTCCTAATTTCCTGTGTCGTTTTTGTTTCGTCTTTGTTTTTTTTTTCTTCTGATCAACAAAAATTAACTTGAAGAACCTCCCAGTGTTTCTCCATCTTGGATTCACTTCTATTTGAGATTCTCTAAACCCACAAAAGGTTGTCATTAAATTTGACAATGGTTTACGATTTTTGTTTGATGTTCTATATAGTAATTATCCGTTACATGCACACCGGATGTGAGGAAGAGATGTTCTGAGTTTTCGCAAAAAAAATTTAATTTGTTCTTTTTTCTCAAAAACTATATTTACTTTTTTTACAAACTCTCATAGCTTTTATTTGTGTTCTCTGAATTATTTAGAAACTAAATATTTATTAGAAAATATTAGTTCCCAGGGGAAACTGAAAATTGTTTTTTTGAAGCTTTTGTGTCTATACATAATAGGATGACTCAATTTAGCTTTATTACCTCTTTCCTTGTGTCTTTTTCTGATTTTCTGCAAAAAAAGAATCGCATCAATGTGGGCTTAAGTGAAATGACTTTTGGGTTTTCTTTTTTTCTTGAGCTCATTGAAATTTGGAAGGATTCTGAATAGGAACGAAATCTCAGCTTCTAATTCTTCTCCAAATCATGAAGTTCTTCGTAAAGTTTCTTATGTTTATCAGAAGCACAAAAATTCTTTTTCCCACAATAATGCTACAGATTTTTTTTATTTTTATATAAACAAGAAAACAATAGCAAATGACACACCATGACATGTTTCCCATATTTCATACACTATGTATTCCTGTATTCTTCGAGAAATGTCGAGAAATGAGCCCTCATAGCTACAGTACATTATATATGTTCAGCTTGATGAGAAAATATCGAACTGCACCGGCCATCATGGGGAGATTTCACCCATTGGTGATGACCCTTGTTATCTACGCGCTTTCTGATGTCGCTTTCTCGGGAGCTGTCGGAGTTTCCGCTTACCATGTAAGCGTACTGTATTTTCTCTAATAGATGCCTACACAAATTGTCAAATTTCATTTATATAGATTTTTCTGAAAAATATTGGAAATTTGTGGATTGTTAAATAATTACTCATGATATCACCAAGATTTTACCAGTTGACGTCTTGGGTGGGATTTATCAGAAAAAATACGGTATTGAAATATTAGGTTGGAAGGAAAGTAACTGTCCCTTGTTTTATTTGTGAATAACACAAAAACCAGAATTATCCAAGATTGACAGTATGCACCGTCGTAGTCCACGACATGTTGGCAACATTCAGGTAACTTGTGGATACCATTTTTCCGAAAGCCAGCTAGCTGCGAATCGAAGCATACTTTGAGCGCCGTTTTTATCTCATCGACAATGTAAAATTGTTTTCCCTCCAGATGACGTTGCATATCTCCGATTAACCAATAATGAAATTGTCAAATATGCAATTTAAGGAATGTGGAGAGCCGTCCATCCATAGCAGTTTAGAACTGTATTGACTTTCCTTCAATAACGCGAAACGCTATTTTCCACGGAAAGTCTAATAAGACCTGGGCTGCTTCAGCTGAAGGGTTTTTCTTCACGCCTGCTGGACTGAAAAAATACGTTGAGTCGCGGCCAGCTGGCTTTCGACGGGATGGTATCCACAAGTTACCTGAATGTTGCCAACGTGCCGTGGACTACGACGGTGCATACTGTCACTCTTGGATAATTCTGGATTCGTGTTATTCACGAGTTAAAATCAGTTACTTTCCTTCCAACCTAATATCTCATTCGAAAATAGCGTCATAAATGTTTCAGATGGATGGGATGTGGTCGAACCCGTATTATCCCTTGCTTCACACGGGAATCTTAATGTTTTCTATTATGTCGGTGTACTTCATTGCGTTCAGCAACATCAAGTTGGCTCTGTCTCTTCACGGAATGCTTAAGTTTCTGGTTCTTTTGTTGACCCTCCATTCGGTGTGTTTTCCAGGTAATTAAAAACCGAGTTCTAACCAGAGGTCAGCTATAACTGGAGGAAATAAATTGGAACATGAACGTCTGAATTTGACTGAAGAAACGTTACTCTTCTTACATTTTCTGTGCTCGAAAACACTTTTGAAGAATGCAAAAATTACCGTAAAACCTATCATAGGAGGGCCCCTACACTGTCAAATTTGAGCAAACTTTTTGGCTCCTATGAATGAGACCAAAAATATGTCAACTGATTAAATGTTTGTGATGAAATTATGAACATTTGTGAAAACATGAAATTATGACAACTTATTTTCATGTCTTTGGCAGGGACCTGAAAATTGGCTCAAAGTTTTAGTAAGGAGGGTCTTCTATTAGAGGTGGTGTGAACCTATATTTTAATTTTCAGAATTCTATCAAATCAATAAACAAGAAGGTGTGGCGATTTGCTTGTACTATTTACTCACACTCGTCTTCGAAATGACCGCTTTCTTTGTTATTAACAAAATGAACATTCCATTTTTTGCTGTAACGTTTTTCCAATTTTTCAAAGCTTTCATAATTTTTCTATTTTCCAGGACGATGATGGCTCGGAATATTTTGAGGACGAAGACGAAGTTATGGCCACGTGCTGCTAGAGCGTTTAATTGCCACAAAACAAAAAAAATATAATTATTGACTCTCACGATTCCTTTTTATTTTTATTTTTTCTGGTCCTATCCACAATGTAGAACACCCTTTTTTAAAAATTTGGTTTAGATTGTATAATATTTATGGAAAACTATATTTTAGTGGAGCTTCCCTCTTATAAATGTACATATGTTTCTTCATTTCTTTGGCATCATCTCAGTAGTAATCAATTAGTGATAAGACACAACACGGTGGTGATAAATTATGGCTAGAGTCACTAGAAAAACTTCAAGCCATGTGACAACAAAAATGACGGAATGTTGCCGCTTTTCAATTATTCCTCAATTGATTTATAGAGTTATAGCCTGAACATGTAGTCGGTCTATATCAAAAAGTGAAATTAAAGATCGAAATAGCCCAACATTTGTCATCCCAAAAAAACACGTGATGTATCCACCCTCGAAACTCAATCGAAAAGTAACAGCCCCCGGATATGAGAGAACCTGACAGGCTAATCCTCTATGTTGCAAGACAAAGGAAAAGCTTTGCAAAAGTGAGTCAGATACGGACTAAAGTTTAGTACCAAGGTCAGTGATCACTGGTGAGTTCGAGGTCGAAACTGAATGAATCACGTTTGTTATCAAGTGCAACAAAGAACTAATGAAGAAGGTGTTTTGAGATTTAGGTTGCTCTTAGATGGCGAGTAATGATTTTTAATGAATTCAATATGCTTCACAATACTTCCTTTTGAATGTTTTTCTAGACAACTTTTTTGACAGTTCAGAAATCAGATGTTAGATCAAACAAGACGGAATAATAGACTATGATATTTTTGCTCTTATAGATTACCCGTGTACAAGGCTGTCGAAAACAAGACCGCGGCCCGGACCGTGAGTATGTTGCCGTAAACGAACCCGTCCGATACTTTGGGAATAAGCTCACTAGGGAAAGTTGTGAATTTAGGTTATAGTTTCGGGCCGAGACCTATATCATTCAAAAGCTGAGGACACGTCATTTCCGAATCTGTTTTTCGTTTTTGCTGCGGGCCTAAATAGGTTTCAAATGTGTTTCAAAAAAGGCTGAACATTTTCTTATTTCTAGATTTTCTACTGATTTCTTTAATTAAAATGGGAATTTTAGATCGCGTGAACACTAAATACTTCAATACAATTGAAACAATAGAAAATGTCACTTGGATGGCTAAGTGGTCTAATTTTGAAACCTATTTTTCTTGAAACTGGTAGGTCCGCAGCAAAAACGGAAAACAGATTCGGAAAGGAAGTGTCCTTCGCTTTCGAATGATTAAGGTCTCGACCCAAAACTCCAACCTAATGTAAGTTCACAACCTTCCCTAGTCAGCTAACCAGAAAGTTATAGCACCCCATTTATCACAAAAGTACACTAACAAAAAAGCCGTGAACCTGATATCAGCTTCGCCCGTGTATCATTAATATAAGGAAACCGAATCTTTAAAATATCTTCAGTATTTTCTTCACGGATTTGATTTTTTTTCTTTTTTTTTTCTCAGTTTCCCAAATCTGGCGAAGGCTGTTGTTAAATTTAACACTGGTTCACCAAATCCTGTTCCGTTTTCCGATTCCAACCTATCATTTTCTTGTACATGCACACCGGATGTGAAAAAAAAAGAAATCGTCTCGAATTGTTGAGAATAGGTTTTCTAAGGCTTTCTTGGTTTGTTTTCTGATTTATTGAAACCAAACATGAATTACTGTAACAAACCAACTTGGAAGTTCCATCTGAAGCGTTTTGCCAAATTTTTCGGGAATTCCTCTTTTCATGTAAACTGTATATTCAAAATGAAACTAATTATAATTAGAAACTAACCTGACATCGATTTTCCCCTGCTTTACTGGCATATTGAGATTCCGATCGTTAAACAAAACAATCTATGGGAATTCGTAGATATGTTTTATTCAAACTAAAAGCTGATCGATGGCAGGTCGACAGCTGTATCAAAATTTAGCTGGTTGATAAATGAGCAGAATCCAATTTGAATCAGTTCGAATTATGATCATTGTCGTTTTGAGAAGTCTTTTTAAAGATACACGTAATGGAACCCCCCCCCCCCCCCCCCTTTTGGTTATTTTTCTTAACACAACGTTCGCATATCCAACTGTCACATAGATCATACCATCCGTTATTTCCACCCATCCCACTAATTTATGCGATTGTTGGTCTTCCACATATTTTCCGAATTTTCCCATTCATGCTCATTCATATGCAGTTCCAAAATGCTTGTACATTGCTCCCCCGCTTTCCCGCCTTACTACTAAAAACGGAGCAGTAGGTGATTAGATTTCATCCAAACGTCATGAATCGCCTGCTCCCCCGATTCGCCCTCCACTTCAAAAGTTCAAACAACAGGAAACGTTTTGTCTTTCTTTCGTCATCGTCTTCAAAAAAATCTCCGGATGCAAATCTGTTCATTTTGTCATGAGCCTAATTTTAGATTTAAGAAAATCAGAGTTTGTGTTTTTACCTCATTAACAGACAGATGCAGATTTCTGAAAAATCACAAACGACAACAAAACCGCTTACGTAGATTCCCTGACTTCACATCGGCATCGAAAAGTTCACCTGTCTCATTTTTTTGAGGGTGGACTTAATAGAATTGATGTCCAAAACCCCTGCGTGCAAAATTTAAAATGCATGTGAACTTTTGAAATTTTTTGCTGGGAATGGAAGATAACATTTCAAAAAGGATTGTGTTACCAAGAATGTCAGATCTTTTTCTTTTCCGGTGGTCCCATTTTTCTCGGAGAATCAAACCCGGTGATCTGTTATACGTAGATGGAACATAGTAAATCGTTAAAGATTAGCAGACAAATGTGCAACTCTTGAAATCCCGGATGCTTGGGTTGTTTCGAATATGATTGTATATGGCAAAGTTGATAATTTCCGTCGGTTTCCGGGAATGATAACATGCAAACAAGGATTTGAAAATTTTTGAAAGCCTGAGTAAAATGAACTATGAAAAATTATGTTTCTGTTTCGAAATTGGATCATACCTATAGTTTGATCTTAAAAGTGTAATAGGATATGAATATGGGTTCTTTTTGTTTTCCAGTTCCTGCAAAACGTAATTTTCAAGTGTCATAATGTGAATTGGTAGGTTTTATTACTGCTGACATCACTGCCAGTGCTTAAGAATAATTTTATGAGCTACAGTGCTGGCCTTAAATATATGAAAAACGTGTTTTTCGGTTCATTTTCGGATATTTTTACCAGTTTCAGGTGTCCGTAGCTCGGCTGTCAAATGTCAGATCACTTTGAAATTTTTTGAAATTGTAAAACAAATCTAGTTTAAAAATTTTGCATTCACATAGTTTTTTCTAAACTTCTAGATTTTCAGCAATTTCTCGATTTCTGACACCTGTTTTTTTCACGTTTTTAATACAAAAACATGACAAAACAGTGTCCATCAGAAAACGGTAAATAACTGAAAAACTAGGAATTTTTGAGAAATTTTATGAATACAAAGTTTTCATTTTAGTTCTGCTTTATAACCTTCAAAATTTTTTAAGTGATCGGACACTTGACAGCTGAGCTCAAAAATCCTGAAAATGATCAAAGTCAATTGAAAAACAGATTTTTCATATAATTATGGTCAGCACCGTAAATTCCAGATAAATAGGTCAAAGTATCATTTTTTGAGTTCTTCACACATTAAGAATTACAATTACAAACATTCCTTGATACTTGATACATGATCTTAGAATTCCCACAGTAGTTCAACTACATCAAAGAAAAAAATGCTGGGCAATACAAAACACAATGGGTCAACAACACAACCTGAAAACTAAGACCCACTATATACGGTTTGTTTGCTTGTCCGTATATGCCATTCCCTCTCTGCTCGTACTCATTGCTTTTAGTTTTAATTAAAACCAACTTTTCGCGAGAGGGCCACTACCAAAAATGCCGAAAAGGACACGTCATTTCAGAGATGTCGCTTCTTTCCGCCGTTTTACATGTCAAATCGCTCATTCAGCGCTGACATTTTGGGTCCGGCCCCGAGTCCCACGTCTACTACGGATTTCGTTATGTGCCGGGTTACATCATAAAGAAACACAAAAACTAATGTTAGTCTAAATTAGCTATAACGTTTAAAAAGGGAAAGAGGGAAGGGATAATATGGAGTTGACACATAAAACGTCCATTCATAATTATTAGTATTATTATTCCAAAGTTTAATTTTTCTTTTCGAAGAATTAAACGCGGAAGTGAAGCTAATGAAGATACATTTTACCTTGTTATTTACAATCCTGGAGGTATGCAGTGTGCCTGGGCTCCGGGAACAGGGACAATTGTTTTCTTAGAAATGAGAACAAGTAAAGTCTGGTGGGGCACATGTATAATAAGTGATCCACTAAAAAAACCAATCTGGAAATAAGCAAAATTTTTGTTTTGGGATAATGCTGAATTTGTGATTCAATCAGAAATCTGAAAAATGGAAAAAATACAAATCAAGAAACCAATTGATTCTATTAAAACCCCCACGTGAGATTAGATCTAGTTTCTGATTGAAATCCAGTGATTTCATATACAAACGTTTTTGATTCTAGATTCTAGTTTACCCTGACGTTTTTTTCATTTATTTTCTGATTTTGACTTCTGAGATTTGATATTTCCTGTTTGCCCGTATTCATCTAACCCATATTTCAATCTATCTGACGTTTAAAAGGTCCCAATTTGAAGGAGGGTTTGGTTTTGCAAAAAAAATCCCATAAAAAATGGAAGGAAGTACCTAAAACGTTTTGACCCAATGACGTAAGAAGTCAAAAATCTGCAAATTTTTGGACCAGCAAGCCTATCTATTTTACTTTTTTCCATTTTTTTTCCAAGTTAATTCTCCAGGCTAATTCATCAAAGTTGTCAATTTGTGTATTCCTTTGACGCAAATTATGCAATTTCCATCCTTTTCATCTTTTTTCCAACTTTTTCACCAAAAATACTTTGGGATTCATACTTTTCCTTTCTTTTCATGTCATCATCACTTGACATCTTGACTCAGAAAAATTATGGCTACAGTTTCTCTAAACCCTCTTGATTCAATACACTCTTTTTCTCAAGCTCCGGTTCCCTCAGTTCTCACCCACAAAATGGGAGGGAACTGAAGGGGTGGAGCTTAGGAGCAAGCCATGCGCAGCTTCTCCCCGCCCTTTCAGCCTCGGCTTCCACTCCCGCCTCTCTTGAACCGGTCATTCCTCGCAACTATGAGCAGCCGAAGCACCACGATTGCTTTCCTCTTCATCGCCACCCTTCTCGTGTTCCAATGTGTATCCGCTCAATTGAGGTGAGTTTTTGATAAGGTGTCTTAGGATCATAGAAGGGTATGGGGCTATTAATTTTTCTGTTTTTTGAAATTTCTCTTTTTTCTTTTCAAAAAGGCTGCAAAAGAGCCTTGGGAAAGAAAGAGCCTTGGGAAGAAAAAAAAAAGAAAAAAACTGTGAAATTGATATTCCGAACTTTAGATTTCTTTATTTTTAGACAGTCTCTAGTTTCCTGGTTCCCATAACCGTGGGAATGAATGCCAGAGATTGAGATCATCACTCAAAAAATTCAAAAGCAGAACTTGATCTCCAAACTTGAAAAACAAAGGTTAAGGGCACGTGATCCTGACTTTTTTCATCATCTTGACACATTCCTGATCAATTAACTCTCTCAGGAATAGTAATAACGCTATCTCGAAACATGTACTTTACTATTTCGTTCCCCTCCCTCCATCGGGTCATCAAAAAGCGTCTTCTTCTAATTAACACGATTCAATGAGTTCCTATTCCCTTTTTATTTCATGTCGCTCCTTAAAAATAAAACGTCCCAACAAGTGTTTCGTACAGCAGATGAACTCCACTTTTTTGTCTTTTTTTGCATTTGAAATGTGACGTGAGTTTATTCTGGTGGCAGAATGGTGGGCCTTATACACCATAGAAGAGTGTTGGCTGAAGCGGAAATATCAATCAGCCATTCAAATTCAATTTTGGTGCGGGTAGGGTAATAGAAGCAGCCCTTTGTTTCTAGTTTTGCATTCTACTGTTTCCGGTAAGATGCACTTCAAAATGTCGCCCATTATTCGTTACCCCAGCAAAAAAATATTGGAAAAAGTGTTGAGTTATAATATAACAGAACAGTAGACGAATAATGTGACAAACCAAATCAAATCAGCTATCGAAATATTTGATTAGGCTGTTTTTGAGCTAGTGTGGAACAGGGGAAAAACGGAAGCAATTATGCTCTAGTTCATTTTTTAGACAATGACCCTATTCAGGATATTCTCAGAAGAATTTTTTCAAAGCTTTGTTTTTTGAAATACAAAAAACAAACAACCAATTTGATCATTCAAAATCTCGAGATCTAACAACCAAGGAGCCAAAAAAAGAGAGTGAGGGAGGAATACTTAATGTTTCACTCTTTAGTCTTTCCCCTATTAAACCAAGAAATTAGCATTCTGGTCTTTGTGTATACATACCACTACATCCTATCTTCTCATTTATCGGAAACTTCCCCGTTTGATTCTTAGAAAACCAAATAGATCAGAGCGCTCAAGTATTGAAGAAAGCTGCCAGACAGAGTTTCGGGACCATTTTTTTCGCACTTGCCAATACAATTGGTAGATGGAGCGTGAAATTTCGCACTTGACAAGCTAACGTGACGCACTTGCTCATTGAGGTTGGGAAGAAAAAGTAAAGTGAAACCCAGCACAATAAAACAGCATCATACTTCATCAGTTTAAATTACACAAAAGGGCAATTATTTCTGAAAATGTAGATCATAATGAAATAAAACTGCCTCCCTCGCTTTTGTTGATCTCAACCACTCTGGAATTGGGTAGTGACCTTTTTGAAAAGCACAATTACGTGACAAAAATTTAGCTCCAAAAACACCTGTACCCTAATCCCCTCTAATATTAGAAAATGTTAATGAACCTTCTATTTTTCAGCGATGAGGAGACGAGCTTCCTCGACCAGTACCAACGAGTCGCCCGTGCTCCAAAACCAAAGTTCATCCGATTCGGACGCGCTGGTGCCAAGTTCATCCGCTTTGGACGATCTGGAGCTAACACTTGGGTCAGTAAGGGCATTGTAACAGAAGGAACAAAAATCTTAAAATTGCATTTCCGCGTGATTTGGTGTACACAACGGGTCTTAAGCAAGGAAAATCCTATTTGAGCCTGTCGACAGCATATGCAAAATATATTATAGACAAATATAGGGGTTTTCGATTGTTTTCAGCTTAACAATTGCTAGTTTTTTCTTGTTACCAAACGAAAGGATATTGTCAATTAACTCGGTAGCGACAGAGTCACAAAAACTTGCTTCTATTTGCTCTGAACGTTTTCAGAACCCGGAAAACATATTACTAGAACGAAGCCAATGAGTAGACGGTGTCTCAAAACCTTATGATGAGTTTTTATTAGCTTTGGGTAGTAGTACAAAACGTCAGAATTAGTTTAATGACGAGCGAGTTCATTATCGACTATTAGCTTTCTGAAATATTAAAAAATTCTTCCCTCGTATCATAATAAAATACATATGAAAATATCACGCTAGAAAGCACTATGTCATCTGCTCTACCAATACATTGGGATGAGTAATGACGCGCATTTCTAAAGGAAAACGACTCCAAACACAAAAAATGTGTTTCTTCTTTCAGGAAGATGGATATGCGGCGGCGGCCCCATCGGTCAACGACCTCTACGTCAAACGTGGAGCCAAGTTCATCCGTTTCGGCTAAACTAGGAACACAATCTGGATGCGCGTCGAATCACAACTGCTCCTACGTTGTCTAACTTACATAGTGTTTCTTTAAAAACCACGAAATGTACTTTCTAATTTCCTTCTCATCTTATTTATTCGAGCTCTCTCTTTCTCTCTTTCTTTCCCCTCTGTGAGAACTGTTGTGCGAACTGATATTTTTTGTGAACTCTATTTTCGACGTATTCTATAATGAAAATCGTCTCGTTAAAGTTGTTTTGGTGTTGTTGACTTTCGATTGGAAACTCTTTTTCAGGAAATTGAAAAGTACTGGGATATGGGAATGAGAAATCATTTGGAGTGGGGTCTTTCAATAAATTCAAAAACGTATTTTTCGTTGGATTTCTGGCATTTTTAACCATTTTCAGAAGTCTGAAGCTCTACTGTCAAGTTTCCGATTATTTTTAAAATTTTGGAAGGTTTCAAACAGACCTAAGTTGGAAACTTGTCATTCATAGAATTTTTGAAATTTTCTAGATTTTCAGCTAATTGCTGATTCCTGAAGGACATCCTTTTTTAGTCCGTTTTTGTATTGAAAACGTTAAAAAAAAGTGTCTTCTAGAAATCGTCATATAGCTGAAAAACTAGGAATTTTTAAATAATCCGGTGAATATAAATGTTTTAATCTAGGTCTGTTTTACACACTTTAAAGTTTTTGAAGAGCTTGAAACCTTGACAGTCGAGTTCCAGACTCTTAAAAACGGTAAGAATGGCCGTAAATCAACTGAAAATAAGTTATTTCACATTTCCTTTGATCGGTACTGTATTGGAAACGGTAAAAACGAGAGATGAAACAAATTGAATTGTTAGCTGATATTTAGACACTCAGTTATCCATGAATTTGTTTCAGTATTTTCTCATAAACTGCCCTCTGTCTCTCTCTCAAAAGAGAGTTCAAACCCACTTTTCATAGTTTGTATCACCCCTAATTAAAAATTTACAGACATTTTTTCTTTTCCTTTGAATCAGAAATCTTTTCTTTTCTTTTTAAAAAACAAAGAAGATCAATAGTTTCCCCTTTTTCAAAAATAACATACTCTAATTGTTAATTCCAAAACGTTTAGACTCCTGGACCCATACAATGACGCCAGTAGCTAAAAATGAGGAAGTCGTACCAAGAGTTTAGATCTAAATTTTAAAACACCCTCTCTTTGACAAGAAAGATGGGGGGTGAGACGTCTCCTTGCTCATTTATACATCTTGATGATTGTTCTAAAGTCTGGGAGCCGGGATGCCTTACAATCATTATTACTTTTTTTCCGGTTCGGCGGAAAAAGGGAACGGAACAACATCTTATTTGTTTTCAGAATCAGTGTTAGTCTGCTGGTTTCTCGATATCCCAAAATCCGAGAATTTATTCAGTGGGGTAACCAAAATAGGGCTTTTGGTGAACAGCTAACCAACTCTAACGAAAACAATGCATTTCTGATGAATTAACTTTCGTACTAATGTTTGTCCGTGTACCCTCAGAACTGTGATTGGCATGTCACAAATCTAAAAATAAGAAATTTCGAGTTCAGTACCTGAGGGCACAGTGTGTTGAGTAGGCGGACGAGGCTACAAGAGCAGTGAAGTGTGTGGAAATTCAAAATCATCAGATAAACGTGTGTTCGAAAGCGGTTAATGACGTAAATTTAGTTTTACTGCTCGCAATGCAAAAATATTATAGCATTTCGTTCAGCAAGCAATAACAAGCATAACAGGGGTAAGAAAAAAAAATTTCTAATTGGCATAACTATTCAATCAGTGGCTATAGTCAACATACAGCCGCCAGGGAAAATTTTGCTAAAGAAAAATATATAAAAACATGGAGGTATTAGAGGTGAAATATAATTGAATGCAGATCCCAAGTGATATCACAGTATTAAAATAGGTTTCAAATTGACCTAGTTCTTAAAATTATTAAGAATTTCAATTTGATTCTTGCTATACATTATCGAAAACTTTGCATTCACTGAAGTTTCAGAAATTTTCTTTAGCTATTAGCTGTTTTCTGAAAGACGCCGGCTTTTTTTCACGCTTTCAGTACAAAATCGTGCAAAAAAGTTGATTTTTAGAAATCGGCAAATAGCTAAAAAACTAAGAGTTTTCAAACAACTCCGTGTACGCAAAGTTTTCAAACTATGTCTGTACACCCTTTAAAGTTTTCAAAGTGGTTCGACACTTGATAGCCGAGCTCCAGGCACCTGAAAATGGTCAAAATCCATTGAAAATCACGTTTTTGTATTTCGTATTCACCGGTATTGTATTTTTGTTCATGTTAGTTTTTTTTTCAAAATTATTTCAACCTAAAGTAGTACCGACAAGGCGTTATAATGGTATTCCCATAAATCCATCATATGCTAAGTGCACATACTCACTTTACACCTCTTTATTACGTCAAAAAAGTACCAATTTATTCGTCACTTACACATCAAAACTGGATGGAGTTCCGTTTACTGAGAAAACAAACTATTTCTTCGTATCCGTTTTAGAACTGCTCCGACAAAAAAGGGATCTTCAACTTCATCATCATCGTCAACTACTGGAACACGTGAAAAAAACATTTCAGACATCAAAAGAATTACCATTCCTAGTTAAAAATTCATGCGATGATGTGTCATTTATTTTGAGTCTTTGTTTGTTTTCACTTGCAAAATTCTGTGAATGCTGGAAGTTGATGCTCAAATTTTACGGGATTAGATAGCCTCTATTTTAAAAGATGGACCTTTTCGGCGTTTGTGCAGGAAACGTCATTTGTTCGTCCGCGCCACTCACGTTCAGTTTTTACTTCATAACAGAACTTGACATTTAAGGAAACCCTCGTCATTGCCAAATATGCAGTAGTCATGCTTTTCATTTTCAATCAAACCCACGAATCAAAGTGACATATAGAAAACAATTCGGCGGAGGTAGGTCTCGGCTAACCTGCAAAAAAAAAATAGCGGACCCAGGAAAATAAGCCATTCAGGGATATGGAATCTTGGAAGATTCGGATCTAAAATCAACACGTCATTGATAGAAATGGTTATTTTCCAAAGGTCATATTTGCTAGAGAAAATCAGTTCGTCATGTTTTTTTCTACAAATACATTTATTTAAAAGGAACTGATTAGGAAATTCAAGCAGAGCAAAAAATTCATCAATCCCATAGAAATGGGAACAGTCTCGATCAACTCCGTCATTAGGTATGGTTTTTTGATATCAATAAAGTAAGAAGATTAAAGGACGCGAGACAGCAAAAATTTCGGGGGCAGTTCGGGGGAAGGAATCGCGCCGCGCTTATGTAGACCATCGGTCGTCAGGCGCCTTCGCGCCCCCGTAGCTCAGCCGGTAGCGGCGCTGTACCCCTGAGCTGCCTGTCATGAGTTCAACCTCTCATGGGGTTCTCTATGCAAAATATCAGGAAAACTTTTTTTTGGTGTCTGGCCTCCTTTAAAGATTAATTTTCTGGTAGAAAACCTATGTACATATGAGGAAACGCGCACAAAAACCAAATTCTGTTTCGAACAATTATCGCATCCGCAGTACCGGTCAATAAGGTAGACGAAAACGCATGTTTCAGCTGATATCTCTCATTTTTCCCATTTTCATGAGTCTGTAGCTCCGCTGTCTAGTTTCCGATCACTTTGAAAATTTCAGATGGTTTGAAACAGACCTAGATTGAAAATTTTGGATTCACAGAATTTTCGAAAATTCTAGTTTTTTCAGCTGTCTGCCTTTCTGAAGACACCTTTGTGTCTTCAGAAAGGATTTGATATTATTCTAGTCCAGCGACAGTATTATTCTAGTCCAGCGACAATTAACTTTGCAACCTAAGACTTACTCAAAAGCCCTTTTTGGATCCAGCAACAAAAATTTTCTCTGGTGCCGTTAAATTTCATGCACTTTTGAAATTGGAGATTCTGGAAAATAATAATTTTTAGCCTAATTTTCTCGATTCTCGACATTTTATGATTTTTTCGTTGTTTTCAAATTTGTTTTCAAAAATAGGCTTAACGTGATTATTTTCAAAACAGCTAGAAACTGTAACGGCGAATGAACCTGTACGAGCCCACGATTTTGCTCCTGAACTGACGCATTTGAATAAAATTTGGCAGGCAAATACATTCAACCTGAAACGTTTGAAACTTTCAAGCACGCTATTTCTCCAGCTCTGAAAGCATATTACTGCTAAAAAGACGATTCACAAAGTTATAGTGCCTAGGTGTCTCAAATACTTTATTTCGAGCGGGAGGGGGCGATTTTTTCAGCAATCTAGTTTGCTACGAAATTACACATAACTACCATAATGCATACAAATAGATAACAAAAATTGGGTGACACGGTCTCAAAACGAGAAAAAAAAGAATCGTGAAAAAAAAAACAATAAAAAAGGGATTTTGGACGGGGCGTGGAGAGAGAAGAGGTTGCCGGAATTACGAGACAGAAAGTAAAACAAAGTGTTTTTTCGTAACTTTTAAACTATACATGTGAAGGAATTAAGAGAGAGAAAGAGAGGGATTCGGCGATTATAGGAGGGTATTTAATAGGAGCGGACCTTTGGTGGCACCCAGTCGGTCTCGCTCTTGTCGAGGGTGGTATCGATGACTGGACGGTAGTCGAGGGAGACGTCTCCAGTTTCGATGTTGGATCTGATGATCGAGTGCTTGCGCCAGTGATCCTTGAACTCCTTCTTGGTTTGTCCTTCCAATGGTTTGCTGTAGTCCAACTCGTCAAGGCGGTCTGGGAAGTCGTCACGAGCGTGAGCTCCACGGGATTCCTGTAACACAAATATATTTATGAATTAGTTTTCCTTTTTGTAATTTTTGAAGGCGAAGCCTCACTCACCTTTCTGTTCTCAGCAGCGACAATGGTTTGGGTGGCGTTGATGAGGAGATTCTGAAGCTCAAGGGTCTCGATGAGGTCAGAGTTCCAGACGAGTCCCTTGTCGGCAACCTTGAGATGGGCTTGGTCCTTGTAAAGTTTGGACAAGACCTTGACTCCTTCCTGAAGGATATCTCCACGACGGAAGACGGCGGCGTGCTTTTGCATGGCCTTTTGCATGGTGAGACGAAGCTCTGCGGTGGAGATGTCTCCGTTGTTGTGGCGAAGTTTGTCGAGATTGGCGACGGAGGCTTCTCCGGCGTTCTTTGGAAGGTCTGGGACTCCAACTCCGGCGGAAGTGTTCTTGAGAATGCTGAAAATGACAATTCATATTATTCACAGGGAGTTCTGAAATCTCTGACTGCTGTTTTCTTGGTAAATTTTGAAAAATGGAAAAAAAAGTAGGTGTCGTACTGACAACAGTGCGCTAAAGCGTCAACTAGACTTCCAGAAGGTATTTGAAGCCTGATCAACTCTGATATCCGATATTTCTAGAAAAAAAAACAAAAAATAAAATACTCACTCAATAGCGCAAGCTCTTCCGAAGATAACCAAATCAAGAAGAGAGTTAGCTCCAAGTCTGTTGGCTCCGTGGACGGAGTGAGCTCCACATTCTCCAGCGGCGTAGAGTCCTGGCACAACTTCATCTCCCTTTTCAGAGGAATAGTTGAGAACTTGTCCCTTGTAGTTGGTTGGAACTCCTCCCATGTTGTAGTGGACAGTTGGGATAACTGGAATTGGCTCCTTAGTAACATCGACTCCAGCGAAGATCATAGCGGTCTCGGAAATTCCTGGAAGTCTCTGTTGGAGTTGCTCGGCTGGGAGATGGTGAAGTTGAAGGTAGATGTGGTCCTTGTCTGGTCCGACTCCACGTCCCTCCATGATTTCGATAGTCATGGAACGAGATACAACGTCACGGGAGGCAAGATCCTTAGCAACTGGGGCATAACGCTCCATGAAACGTTCTCCAGCGGAGTTGACCAAGTATCCTCCTTCTCCACGAGATCCTTCAGTGATCAAGCATCCAGCTCCGTAGATTCCAGTTGGGTGGAATTGAACAAACTCCATGTCGGAGTTGTTGATTCCAGCTCTAGCGGTAAGAGCAGTTCCGTCTCCAGTGCAAGTGTGGGCAGATGTGCAGGAGAAGAAGGCTCTTCCGTATCCTCCGGTGGCAAGAACGGTGTTCTTCGAGCGGAAACGATGGATGGTTCCGTCCTCAAGATCCATGGCGATGACTCCGACGCAAGTTCCGTTCTCCATAATGAGGTCGAGAGCGAAGTACTCGACAAAGTAGTTGCAGTTGTATTGAAGGGAAGCTCCATAGAGGGTGTGGAGAAGAGAGTGTCCAGTACGATCAGCAACACAGCAGGTTCTAAATACGCCTGGTAAGAATTGACAGGGTGAAAAAAATGAACTACCTGTGAGCCTGTCCTCCACGTCCAAAGTCGTTGGATTGTCCTCCGAAGGCACGTTGGTAGATCTTTCCGTCAGTTGTACGGGAGAATGGCATTCCATAGTTCTCAAGCTCGATGACAGCTCTTTCGGCCTCACGAGTCATGTAGTGGATGGCATCTTGGTCTCCGAGCCAATCGGATCCCTTGACAGTGTCGTAGAAATGCCAGCGCCAGTTATCTGGGTTCATGTTTCCGAGGGCAGCGTTGATTCCTGAAAAAAATCAAGGAATTCTAGGAAGTTGATGGGACAGACAACACCTCCTTGAGCAGCAACTGTGTGAGATCTGGTTGGGAATAGCTTGGTGATGACGGCGGTCTTGAGTCCTCCCTCGGAAAGTCCCATAGCGGCACGAAGACCAGCTCCTCCGGCTCCGACGACGACTGCGTCATAGGCGTGGTCGACGACCTTGTACTGGGCAATGTCGGATCGTTTCTCGCTGAAATTACAGAGTTTGAAGTGTGGGAACAATGAATTGAACTCTCTAATTGTGGCATCCTCACTAGTAAATTGCGAGATCTCAGTATTAATGGCTTAGGGCAGGTATTAGGTTGGCGGGAAAGTCTTTGTCACTCTGTTTGTTTAATCACTGTTCTCGTATATGGAGGCTGTGTATGATATCGACTCTAGTGAATAACAAGGTGATAAGAACCTTCCATATAAACAAGTCCCCATTTCCTTCCCTGCTCCTCATCTGTAATTGAAACGATATGTTTGTTCCCACTGCTATTCACATCAGACATGTTTTGATTTACCTCTTCCTATCTCACACCACGATGAAGGATTCGGAAACTTTCTTGAAGAATGTGTACAACACACATGCCCCTCACTACAATACTATTCGCAATTGGTTCCATCGTTTCGAAAAAGATGACTTCTCGCTCGATGAAAAGGATCGCTCTGGGAGACCCCGTGAGTTGGATTTGGACAAGCTGAAGCACGCATTGCAATCGGATCCATTTCAATCTAGCCGTGAACTAGCTGTCACATTCGGAGTTCACCATAGCACAGTCCTTGAAGGTTTGAAGTCTCTTGGAATGAGAAAACTTTTTGGTCGATTCATACGTCATCACCTGACTCAAGCCAACCTTGACCGCCGAGTCGACGATTCGATTACTCTTCTCACTCTCCACGCGGGCGATCGATGGCTGGACCGGCTAATAACCGGAGATGAGAAGTGGGTCTTCTACGATAATCACCACAGGAAATCCCAGTGGGTTGGAGAAGGAGAGAGCCCACAGGATGTCCCCAAACCCGACCTTCATCCGAAAAAAGTTATGCTCTCTGTGTGGTGGGGAGTGGACGGCCCCATCTACTGGGAACTTCTGCCCGAGGGCAAAACAATAACTGGAGACCTCTACACTACTCAACTACGAAACCTCAAGAAAGCAGTCGACCGTTCGGCCCTGAAAGACAAGAAAGTGTACTATCAACATGATAACGCTCGCCCACATGTTTCGAAACAAGTGAAGCAGGAGCTGATGGGATATGGATGGAATGTTCTCCCTCACCCCCCGTATTCTCCTTATCTTGCTCCTTCCGACTATTGGTTATTTGGCGATATGACACGTGCCTTCGAAGGAAGAAGCTTCAATTCCCGTGGAGCGGTCGAAGCGGCACTCAAACATACTTTGCCTCACGCCCGGCTGGATTCTACCGCAATGGAATCCATAAATTGAGGGAACGTTGGAGACATGTTGTTGATAATGATGGACAATATAATTAATTATTCGGTTATTTTTTCTTTGAGAAATAAACTATTGAAAAAGTGACAAAGACTTTCCCGCCAACCTAATATTTTGAGCTTTTTTTTCCGTGAGAAACAAAAATATCCTACATTGTTGTGAACTTCGAACTAAAATTAAGATTCGCTGCTCATAACTTTTGAAAAACGCCAGAATGTTTGAAAGTGAAGCTTCTTTTGAGTTTTACGCTAGTTCTATGCTAGTTTTTTTTCCAATTTAGAACGTTCATTCGATTTATTTTTTACTTTTTTCTTCATTTTGTTTAAAATACAGGTCATTTACATGATTTTCTACTGCCAATTCCAGCCTATCTAGATTTTTCATTTCAAAATTATCATTTTATATCTGTTGTGAAGGCTTACCTGTAATTAGCAGCGGATAGCGACACGGAGCGGGCGGCAACCGCATTGCGGAGGCCGTTGCTGGCGGCGCGTAGCATGCTTCTCCCTGAAAAATCGAAATCCTTCGTGAATCTTACTGACTTTTGAGCAAAAAAACCTAGACAGATAAAAGAAAGTACAAACGTGATGTGATAATGGTAAAAACTTGAATTCGGAGTTGATAAACAACGATAAACGTGCAGAATGCAACTTTAAAACGGCCGCAGCAGAAGAAACGCGCCGCTCGTCTGGTTATGTGTCAACCTTCCCCTTTGGCGTCTTTCACGGGCCAGAGGGGAAACGTGCTGTGTGTATGTGAGTAAATGAGGGGGCATACACCCCGTGAGGCGCATCTTGACTGAAGAAGAGGACAACTCATAGAACGCACAAAACCATCTGTTTTGGGATGGTCAACACCTCTTGGTCGATCGATAATATTCACAATGAGGGTCATTGAACACTTTATTAGAGCATTTTGAGTTGGAAACATAATATCATGAAAAGAGGTTCCAAAACTTAAATTTTAGAATCCAGTGGCTTTTTCTCAGGTACCACGTATGCTTCTTGGATGAAAGAGACGACACATTCCTTGGTGCTATCGAATACACCGCCAAAAATCTTGGCCTTGTTTCCGGTGGCAATTTCCGTCCGCGTCTCGACAAGAAACCATTGGATAGCCTGAAAACAACAATAATTGCTGCTCAAGTTTCATTGATTTTTTTTTCTTCAAGAATTTTTATGAGAAAGAGCAGGTGGAAATGAAAGAAAAATTGTGGTTAAAAGTCAAAAGTGCGCTTCGAACTTTTGTTTCTATTCAATTTCCTAGGGAGAGAGTCAAGTTAGAAAACGTTTTTCAGTGAGTTTACTGAACAAATCAAGATTCAATTTTGTTTTTTTTGAGCAGAAGACAGAGCATGTTTTTTCATTTTGATATTATCGCTGTCTGAGAAAAAGGTTAAGAGCGGATACCTCGAAAAATGTGTCTGAAAATCACAACAGCGACCTAACGTAAGATATCCGTTCTACCATTTTTCTGAAACAATGATAATTGGTTTTTTAATAAACTTTATCGAATTAAGAAATCGCAGTTTTCTATTTCTTCTCCTAACGATCTCTAAACTTCTGAATTTCAAATTGAAGCTAATTACAGTAATAGTTCAAAAAGTTGACAGTTTCTTTCCACCGATAAGCTAATACATTCTTACATACGAAACAGCTATAATCAACTCTTTAGACTCTAACAATATAGTAATTTTCCCCGAAAATCATATTATCTACCTCAACTTTTTCTTTATGAAAATATAGTTTATGATGTAGTGAAGCTCCGGTTGCCATCTTGTAACCAGCTTCGTTTATAGCATTTTGTGCTGATTGTAGGACGAAGAAATCGGAAAGAGCCACCACTCCAACCATTCCTCCATCTTCTCGCACATGATCTGAAAACTTATTTTTCGTATATTTCGAATGTTTCATATTTTCGTAGTTTTTGAGCAAAACTACAATCTCAAAAGACCCCCCATCAGAGAGCTATGTTGCTCTATAATGAGTTTCTCCATGCCAACGGACTCAGGAGCACGAGAGACACGAAAGTGTGCTAACTTCAGAAAATCGTATTATAGATTTTTTTTCTTGCTTTTTCTTCCTTCTACTCTTTCTTAGTGCGGTTCCATAAAAGCCCTATTCATTTATTAATTAAAATTGAATTTTTATGGCCTACCAGTGCATTCCGGAGCTAGTCGAGCATAATAAACAACTCTATAGTCGCCGGGTCCGGGAGATGAGATCATGTGAACAGGTCGTAGTTCGAAAACGAAATGTTTCATGAAAAATCTCAACTCCTCTTTTCTCTTTGAAGGTGGTAACACCGCCATGATTTTGTCAAGACTTGGAATTGACAATAGCGGTGGAATGTTTTCTGGATAAGTTGGTGGTTTGAGGAAATGACTGTCAATCTGAAAAATATTATTTTCCTTGAAAACGTTTTTCTTAAAGATATGATACCTTAATATGTGCTAACCCAATACTCTTATTTTCATGGTAGACATCAACTACAAAAATATCCTCCACTTGATTCACTTTAATGTCAATCAATTTCCGGGGGTCGCCTGAAACTGTTTTTTGCAATTTTTATATAATTCTATTCTCACCTGCCGACACAAAATTATAATGCATGCTGAAAATAACTTTCTCATCGTTGATCTTGTTTTTGTAATTTCGTACAGCATCATACACTTGAGCAGCTATATATCCACCAAACAATCTGTTCGGTCCGACTATTCCACCTATATGTGGTCCCTCGGATCTGGAAAGTTTTCCACGTGTACTTGTCTTATCAAAATGGTCTATACAGTTAGTTGAGACAGTTTGGATCGTACCTGTATATATTATCATCGATGTTATCAATTGATAACATCGCCGAAATCAGTTGTGTTCGTGTGACCATGACTGAACGTTGACCGATTTGTTTCGTTTCTTCAATTTAAGATTGTTTATTGACTTCCAGACCTAAAAATTCTTTGATTTTATCTCGAAAAAAAAAATCTAAAACAGTTCAGAATAATGACAATAAATCAAAAAAAAGAAGAAAAACTAGGAAGAAAAAAAAAGAAACGAAGAAGACTGTTTTATCAGTATTTACCGCATCAGCCTGTCCTCCTTTTGTCTATGGAATGGTCTGGTAATTTGGCCACATTGTAGTGCACTTCATTTTCCGATGTCGCCGACGAATTTTGCAAATCGACGGAATCCTGTAGTATGAGATTGAAATTTAATGTGAGCTGCAAGGGAATGGGAGAAAATGCATTGCGATAAACAACGTGTCATAAACAACAACAACAAATACTTTATGATTGATGCTGTGAAAAAAATTGCAGACCTCAAAACACATTGGTGTCAATTTTTATTTCTGCTTGGTGTGGATGATGGTCAGTGAATAACTATGAAAATAAATTATTAAAACTTGCCAACTAGCTGGTACGTCTTTGGCGCAGTATTAATCTAGTTTTTTATTGCTCCGTTCCTCATTTTTTCTTAAAGGTCACGTAGATCTATATATATATTTTCTTTTGAAGTTTTTCAATAGTGGTCAGACTGACACCGGGACCAACAGAAGTAGCGTTTTGTAACTTTTTGTTTTTTGGAGTTTTTTGGTTTCAATCGTAGATTAGATAGGTTGGGTTTTCTGCTCAACGAAAATTCAAGATGTATTAGTCTAGACCAGAATCAGCATGATAACACTGAGTATTAAATTTTACTTGAGTGAAATGTTGTCTTGTCTGTATGTATTTTTCAGAAAAGTATAGAGTGATTTCATATTTTTGAGATAGAAATTAATGAATAGGTTAGCAAAGATTCATACTGTGGTCCTCCGGCTTTCTAGTCGATGTCGAGTGTTTTCCATTGTTTGAACTTGTCGTGAACCTTCTAATAGAAAGCTAAGTTTCAAACTTCATTAGATTAAAGTTTTTCGTTTTCTGCTGCATGATATTTTTCATTCGTTTTTCGTTCCTTAAGGATAATACGGAACAATTTTGCACTTTTCTCTGATAAAAACTGATAAATTTGCAAAGCTTCATTTTGTGGTCTTTCAAATAAGTGTCAAATCTTTAATGTTGTCAATATTCGATTTTCAGTCACTGTAAACGCTCTAATATAATGCCTCTCTCCTCTTTCCATACTGTCAATTTTGAGCTCTTATATCTTATTTCCTGTCAAAAATACAAAAAAGTTGTCAACTGATAAATTGTTTATCATAATGTCAACAGTTTTTTGTCAGTTGATCACTTTTTGATATCTTTCACCAAAACCGAGATATATGTGCTCAAAGTTGTTAAATAATTCCAATCCCCAATAAGAGCCACTGATGAACTCTGGACTACTGTATCTATAAACGGCTGAAATTGAATAACAAGTATATTGTGAACAGTTAAGTTTGAGCCCCTATATCTCATTTGTTGTAAAAGATATCAAAAAGCAATACTAAATAGAATGTTCACCACAATATAAAAACATTTTATCAGTTGGTCTCTTTTTGATATCATTCACAGGAACCGAGATGTATGCTCTCAAAGTTGAAAGTTTTTCTGGATCATTTTTTCCGTGTTTACGGTATTCCGTTATCCAATTTAAGCAGGTACAACAAATCTGAATCTTTGAGTAGCTTCAATAAGAAATTGGAATAATTTAACTTTACGTTACACCCCGAAAATGTCGTAGAAACAATACACATTGAAATTTTCATTTACTCTTCTTGAGACGGTTTCGCTGTTCTCGCGATTTTTTATCAAAACGTGTGTTTTACTTTCACTAGATTTCAATGATTGATTTCGTTTCAAATCTCGAAATTCGAGAAAGTACGAGAGATTAGAATCATGAGTAAAAGTGCGCAGTAACATAGTTTCCCTTTCACTCTCTTTACTCTCGACCATGCCTTTTGTCTACCGTTTGCCTATCTATCTCTCGGCAAAGTTACCAAAATTGTTTTCTCCCCATCAATCGACACTTCTCTCTCTCTCTCTCTCCTCTCGTTACCACCTGAGCGCCTTCCAATGTTTCCAGTTTTGACTGACGTAACACAGAAAAAAAACCGAAGAAAAGAAAAAGCGGTAGTGAGTGAGAAAGGCAAGAAAACAGAGTGTGGCACGTGTATTTAATGTGCCGCCTCCCCTTTTTCTACTCTCTCGTGGGGTTGCCTGTCTGACATTGAGAAAGACAAAAGTAGTAATCCTTCTTTTAGCTTTGGCAATTTTCTCAATTTTCAGATGGGTCAGACTTGGGAAATGTTTGCTTATAGCCTCCGAAGAGTTTCCGGATGATTTCACAAAGTTGAAGTATTTTTACAAGAAATGTGACTTTAAAGATTGCCTTAAGAGCCATTCTAGGCAGTTTCGCAATAAGGAAATCCACCTGTACGCCAGTCTCATATGACTCATTCTTTTCCAGACTCTTCTTTCTTTTTCGCACTCTTTTCTTTTGTTTCGCTATCTATCCTTCCGGCTATTTTTGTTATGTACAACAAAAAAAAAATGTCAAGAGAAAAAGAAAAATAAGAAAACAAAAAGTATCATGTCAAACTTCAGAAAATAGAGGCGTAGTTGTTTTTTTTTTGGAAGTTTCCAGATTTTTTTTTTTTTAGTTGTCAGCAAATTTTTAGTTTTCATTCCAAATTGTCATTTTGGTTCGAGAACTGTCCATCACGCAGTTTGATTCTCTTTTCTAACCCATTTGAAATTCATAATCGGTGGTGACCGATTTCTGTCGAATCTGCGTCTTTTTTTCAGCCGCTACCCTACAATTGGCCATTCTCACTTTCTGTTACCTCAACATAATATTTGTTTACTTCCCTTGTTCTCTTGTTCTCCCCCTGCATATTCATATTCATCCTTCTCTCCTCCTCCCTTTCAAATTACCATTCATTGTTCTGCCACGGTTAATTTTTCGTTTAGACCTTGATCATCCCTTTTTTCCATTATTCTTTTAGAAATGGAACAGGTGCAAATTACGTAAAAAAGGAGAAGAGAAAAGACGACTTTGCGCTTGATTATGTAGATTATTATCCGTTTTTGCCAATTATCTACCCACGGCAAAGGCATAGAAATCGAAAGAAAATTCAAATTACACAAGAGAAGACACGAAGAATCTTCTAAGCTGCGGATTTCTATTTCTTCGTTGTTTGATGCGCGTTGATAGATTTGAATTTTATTTTCACTTTGCTTCATTTTGCTGAGAGAAGAAAGAGCCCTCAATGTTGCATCCGTCCTTTTCCCCATTCTGCCCGTCCGGTGTCTGCATACGCAAATCATACACTACTCACACAACACACCAAGAGGGCCGCCGCAAGGGTTATCGGTGGGGCGACTTTGCGGGGGTCGCACCCTCTTTCATTGTGCACCCACTATTTGCTCGTCTTTTTCTCTTTCGTTCTTGCATTATGACTAACTTTTGAAAGAGAGAAAAAAGTGTAGACTAGGCACCAGTTCCGAAAAACTTGATTTTTTCCTTTTTTCCTCCTTTTCCCCCGATATTGACTCTTTTGTTCAGTTCTCTCATACGGAAAAAGAGAATAATTCTTTGTACTTTCCGATTGATTTTTAGTGTAATATTCGTTTATCATAATGAATTTCAAAAAACGCAACGTTTATTCTCTGCAGACTTGGCAACAGACCAATGGATGGTGATACAGAAGTGCTCACGCACAATATGCGACCGCCGGCCGTTATTGACGTCTTTAATTTACACGCCGTGATCAGCGCTACACAACATGGACAGGCAGATTTGGTACGAGAAGCGCTGAAGCAAGGAGTTTCGCCAAATGCAACAGACGATGTAATTTTTTGTTGTTTTTATAGTGAAAAAAAGAGTCGAAAACAAAGAAAATCGATAGTCAGTGTACTTGTTAAGGGCCGGACCGGGTCAAAATGAGAAATTCTATGCTTCGGCCCTGTTGGCCAAGGTCAAATTCTGAAGTTTCACAATTTTGAAGTTTTTATGAAATTTCAAAGTTTCAATATTTGGTGAGTTCTGAAAATGTCAGGATTTTTTTTTTCAAAAAGCGTAATTTTATAAATCTTCTTCAAGAAGTTTTAAAAAATCAGCTTCTCGCCCCTGACCTGTTGTTCGACAAGTACTATTGGCAAAAAATTCGAGGTAGTATTTTCCAGGAAATACATAAATAGAAAAATTAAGAAAAACATAATTATGAACAAAAAATACACAATTTGAAATTTTGTTCAATTTCAGGATGGATGCTCTTTACTCCACTGGGCTGCCATCAATAACCGGCTTGAAGTTGCACGATTGTAAGTTTCCGAACCTCCAAACACATTCAAAACCGAATTTTCAGACTCATTTCTTACAACGCTGACACAAATCTAGTTGGAGGAGTTTTGGCGTCGTCTCCAATTCACTGGGCAGCCAGAAACGGACTTGTTGCAATGTGTGCAATGCTGGTTAAGGTAATTGTTTTCTAATGATCTGAAAAATCTAAAGTTTCCTTTCCAGGCGGGAGCTGTATGTAATATTCGAGACATCCAAGGGTACACACCAATACATTTGGCGATTCAAGGGAATCATATTGGACTAGTGGCTTATTTTCTGCTCAAATTCGATTATGCCAAAGATATCAGTGATAATAGTGGTAAGTATTATTGTTTTTGTCTTATTTCATGCAATTTTCATGAAAACTGATTTTTCAGGAATGACACCAGCGATGCTTTGTGCCAAGAAAAGCTATACAATGTTCCCACTACGATTAATTGTTCGAGCCGGTGCAGATTTGTCGCTTAAGGAGCATTTCAGTGGAAATACTGCACTTCATTTAGCTGCACATGATCGGAATTCTTCTGCGGTGATGTAAGTTTTTGTTTAATATAAGGCTTCATATAACAAAAGGTTTCAGAGAACTACTCCAGGGAAATGCTGACGTTAATATCCGGAATAAACAATCAGAGACGCCGTTAGACATGGCTAGGGCTATTAAAAATCCACACATTTTAGGTGACTCACTATCAATCTATCAGAAGCATACAAAACTATCCCTTATTACAGAAATGATGGAAGAGGCTGCTAGAAAACAAGGAGTCAGTCGAACAAGCTGCTTTAGGAAGTGTTTCGTCCCACCGCTCAGCACATACTTTTTTTTCATGGTCCCGATGTTTGGATTTTTCATCACGTATCTCCTTTTCAAATACTTGCCACTGGTCGTTGCCACATTTACTACATTGATCTCGTGTATCTTCTTAATGGTTCTTATCCGGTTTGACTACCACGATCCCACTTACAAACTTCTTCCTTATGGAGTCACTATCGCCGAAGCGCTTCTTATGATTTTCTCTTGGTAAGCTTTTTTATTCAAATTTCAGATTTCACTTTCTATTGGCGGGAAAGATGGCAGATAATGAACAGGTGCCGTGGAGAAGAGAAAGCAAGGGAAGATTTATATCTTGAGTACACTGAACGGGTTTATGGTGCCAGGTGCATCTGATTCTAATCTCCCTTTTATGGAGATGAGATACCTCTGAATGTAAAGAGTTTACAGCCTTCAGCGTCGAGAAGTCATAGAGGGACGAAAAAATAACAAAAATACATACTTGAAAGCCTAGACCTGTTATGTGTTTTTTAATCAATTTTTCGGGCGATAAGAATTAGATTTATGATATATAAAACGCTAGACGTGTCTGTTGGTCCTAGTGTCCGGCTGTCCGGTTTTGGGTTTCAAATAAGAATTAGGCCGCCGCCAAAACTGAACCCGCGGCCCTTCGGACAACGGTACATGTTCTACCCTTTGAGAAAGAGAAAGCGAAAAGTGCGGGGTGGAGTGACAAACCAGTAAAAAATATTGAATTGCGCCGAAGGCGCAGCAGCCAGAAGGCTGATTAGATATGATAGAACATGACGAGTACTATAAAATGATATTATTATAAAAGTTGTATCTTGTCAATGAACAAAGATACAAGCCAAAAAGTAGCCGGGAAAAGCCTTATACTGTTTTTTGGCCCGTTTTGTTCGTAACTTTCTTCAGAGACACATGATACAATTTTCCAAATTATATAATTTTTTCTCCTTTACAATACTTCACAAGAATGCAAAATCAAACTTCAACAATTTTCAGGACAGCCTATGCACATTGGTTCGTGCCATGGTGGGCTCAGATGCTCTTCGTACTCTCTGTTATCGCTCTTGGATTCACTTTATTCAGGATAGGAACAGTGGATCCTGGGATAGTGAAAGCTCCTAAAAACTGTCATCAGCTATACGTCAACGAGGCAGAAGCTGGAATCCAACACCAACATAAATACTGTTTCACATGCTTTATCAGGAAATTGGAGCATACGAAACACTGTGCAGTTTGCGGATTGTGAGACACATAATTTAGGAAGACGTGTTTTCAAAATATTCATATTTTCAGTTGCGTGAACAACTTCGATCATCACTGTCCGTGGTTAAACAGCTGTGTGACTAGAAGAAACATGCGAGAATTCATCATGTTCATCATTTCGGTGGCCGTCTCATCATTCATCTACTGCGTGGCAACCACACATTACGCTGTTATGAAGATTGATGAGAATGGATTGGGTGAGAATTTTTTCTGAAATGTTTTGGGAGATTATTGAGCTTTCAAAGAATACTTGAAAAAGCGGGGCCCGGTCTGGTGGCCCCGCCCCGGTGTTTTCATACTTGAAAAAATCTGAAATTATTGAAAAATATATTTTTAATTGTATGCTGGGGCAGGAAAATTTTGAAAAAGCGCTACCCGGGCGTGCTCGTTGCAACTATATTTTAAAGTCCTTCACTCTAAGAATAACAACGACTTCTTTATTTCAGAGAAGTTCCTGGAGACTGAAGCCTTCTTGATGATCACTATTATTCTATCTGCAATGCACGCGTTTATGCTAGCAGTGCTTTTCTGTGTACAATTAAATCAGGTGAGTGTTTCTCTTGAAAATTAAAAATGAATCAGTAAGATATACCAAAACGTATTTTCTGTTGATTTGTGGTCATTTTGACCTTTTCCAGGAGTCCGGAGCTCGGCTAGCAAGTTTCCAATCAATTTGAAAATGCTGGAAGGTGTAAACCAGACCGAGATTGAAAACTTTGCAATTACATCATTTTTTGAAAATTCCTTGTTTTCTAGCTATTTGCCGATTTTTGAATGATACTTTTTTCACGTTTTCAGCATATTAACGGGCCGAAAAGAGGTCTTTGGGAAATCGGCGAGTAGCTGAAAAACTAGGAACTTTCAAGAAATTCTGTGGATGCAAAATTTTCAATCTAGGTCTGTTTCAGACCCTCTATAAATTTTAAAAAGATAGGAAAATTGGCAGCAGAGATTCAGAAAATTGATAGCCAGGCTTTGAAAATGTCGAAAAAAAAAACAGTCGAAATGGCCGAAAATCAACTTTAAAATATGATTTTATGTATCTTATTGACCAGTTTTGTAAATTTCTAGTTATTTTTCCGGTATAACTATAATTTTAAAAACTTTTCCAGATCTCCCAAGGCGTTACCACTAACGAACGGATCAAAGCTCGTCGTGCCGGCCACCATCATTCTCATAACTCTGACTACAATGTGATCCATCACCGACCAAGCGTTTCTAAACGATGTCATAATCTACTGGAATTTTTCTCCTCAAACGGCGATCCTAATTGGTAAACAGCTTAATTCTCGGGTCATGCACTATTTTTTGTTCAGACTTTTTTTACATTTTCCGCATAAAAAAGCATACTTTCTTCATTTTTTTCCTTCCCACTCATCCATATTCTAGCCCGATTCCCATTTCAATGTTCACTTGTAGTTTCTGGTTGTGCCCTTCCCCTCTCAACAATGCATGTGCTCCTTTTTTCCAATCCCTTCTAGTTATTATTCTTGGTTCAACATTCCGGTTAGTTTGAACATTTGAAGTAGTGTTTTTTCAATAACTCATTCTCATCTACTTTGCTATTCCCGTTCTTTTTGTGTGTGTTTCTAAGATCTCCAATTGCCTTCACTTTTTTTTCCTCTTTTTTCAATAAATTGAATTTCAATAAAATATTTTGAACATTATTCATCCAAAGTATTGTATACAACGTACTCCCTTTCTCATCTTTCAGATCTTTATCTCGATTTTCAAGGCGCACGCTAATTAGGGGCCAACAACCACGTAGAAATTGCTCTTGGGGAAAGGGTGCGCGGGAGAATCCATTCAATACAGATCGTCATCATTTCCCTCTACTCACCACACAACAAAAATCAATAACATCGTTCGAATCTTCGCTCTCGGATTCTCGATATGGATTCCGATTCTACCGTGGAAAGCGAGTTTATTGAAAACTCCAAGAACACAAGTTTCATGGACAAAGAAGATTCTTTCAGTGGTGAGTTCAAGTTTTTCGATGGAAAATTTGTTGGAAAAAGTAAAAAATAACGTTTAAAGGACCAGTTTTTGTAGGGCCTCATAGTAAATCCGGTTGTAGTCCGATATTCCGAGTGGTCGACTTTTTATTGACCTGAATTGTTTGAATTTTACAATTTTTTCGCGTTTCTGGTTGTTTTCATGCGTTATTATTCCTATGTATTGCATGATGAGAGAACAAATTTCTAATGATTTCGAATAAAAATAGAACTAGCTCTAGGAGTCAAAATTAATAAATTTGATCTGCGAACCTCCCGCTCTCTTTTTTCTTGCGCAAGGTCAATCCCAGCACTGCGCACGGCGGCCGCGCACACACACACACACACCAACCGACCTCGTTTTGTTCCGCCGACTGCGTCTCTACTTTTCGAACGCTCTCTCACCGTCCCGCACCATTCACCAAACGGCCGGTCGAACAGCGGGCAGAAAAATCGACAACGACGCTCCGATATAACAGGGGTGTCGTTGTTTAGCGAGCATTAAAATTCAAATTTAATTACAGTATTTCTCAAAAACTAGAATGTCTATCGGGCTCATTTATTTTTCATTGAAAACCTCGTATTTTATAGTATCTTGTACATGAATTTCTTTTCAAACTGATGTCGTTTGAATTTTGTATGCTAATTTTTAATGTTTCAGGTCTTCCACCATTTCCGGCGCCACAACTTGTGTGCATGACCACTTCGTCGCTACTAACACCACCAATGGACGAATCAGAACCAACTACGGGAGAAAGACATGTAAGTTTGCCGTTAAAAACTGTCCCAAGAGCGTTTTCTTAAATGTCTAGATGATTTCAGCCCGATTTCTACAAAGAATGGGAGCGTCTTCCACTTCTGAATCACTATGAGCAAGAGAGAATCCGTGGGTTGAACCCGTAAGTCTTTCCTAAGAGTATAATAGTTAAATAATCAAGAAATTTCAGTTTGCTCATCGATGAATTCTTCTGTAGAGTGCCCAGAGAGCTTAGCTATCCAATCCGCTTCTTCTTCGCCAAAGCTAGAAAGTATTTTGTCCGCTACTACACTGACATGAAGGTTCTCTATAAAAAATACAAGTTCCCAACCATGAAGCGTCGCATATTCTTCGGAATGGCAAAAGAGTGTCATACAGTGTTACTGGCGAACGATTGGACTGGTGCATTGGAAATTTATCAGAAATTGTTGGCGTACGACTCAGAAATGTTCCAAAGGGATCCGAACATGTATTTCGGATTAGGTCTCGTATACCTTCATTTCAAACAGTGGCGACCGTAAGTTTAAAGATATTTTGGGAATTCGGACTAAATTTGGAATTTCAGAGCTATCGAGGCGTTTTCAAGAGTTCTCTACTGCAGTCCCACAGGAAGAATCGCGTTGGAGTCAAAACTTCGCCTTGGAATGTGCTACATGGAAATTGAAGACTATCACAGATGTCTCAATGTAAGTATCGGCTCGAAAAAACTTTTCAGGAATTTGATAATGATCGGACAGTCAAAAGAATGACGGTTTGTCTCAACTTAGCTTGGCCGTCATGCTATTTAGTTGATAACTAAATAGCTGAAAGCAAGGCTATGCCACGGACCGATTGGTTCACGGAAACCTACTCACGGCCTCAGTCACGGCCGGCCACAATAAGCACAGCCATAGCAGAAAGTGAAAATTCTCTCCGAGATGAATTGATTGATCTATTGGGAAATTCTTTCACTATTCTGTGTACTTTCCCTGAAATCTAGAAAAAAACGGAGTAGAAATGAATATTTGAAGTTGTGATTAGTCCTAACCTATTCTTTGAAACTTGGTCGGTTATAGGATAATATTACGACACCGGAAAAAAATGAAAAAACGCCACTGGCCACAGGTTGCAAGATACTATGTTTTTTCGATGATCTCACAAAATTCATTAGGAGAAAGTAGCTCTCTGATGACAAAATAAAGGACGCATGGATTTTCTTTTTTTTTTGCAAATTTTTGAAACAAAATACTCACCATATTGTATTTTTAAAAAATAATTTTCGATTTTCCAGCTCTTCGACCACGCACTCAATGACTTGGAGGAGTCAAAGTTTATGCCAAGAATTGTGATCAAGTTCAATATTGCATTGTGTCATGAGAACAACGAACAGTTGGAGACTGCTGAAGCTGAATACCGAAAGTTGCAATCAGATGTAGGTCCCCTTGTCACCCATCACCATTGATCATGATCCTAATTTTCAGATTGACATTTTCGAGAAGAGCCACGATCAGCATATTGAACCGGAAACAACTGACTTGTTACTTCGGTTGCGAGCCGCTTGTCTCCGACAATTGGGATGGATCAACTACCGTCGAACTTATAGAGACGAAGCAAATCGCCCAGAGTACATGAAGAAAGCTCTTGACTTCCTCAACCAATCCAACCAGATGGATCCTCGTGATGGCCAAACATACTACTACCTTGGACGTGTCTATGGAGAACAGGAGCTGGGTCCAGGCTTGGTGAATGGTGAAGCTATTGAAGTGGCAAATGAGAGAGCTGAAGCAAACGTAAGCCAATGCCGTTAGACATCAGAAGGTCACAACAATCATTTCAGGCACACGCTGCATTCGTAAATTACCGTCAATCTATCGACAAATGTGAGAAGAATGCTGACACGTGGTGCTCTATCGGAGCTCTTTATTTGAGAAAGAGCCAACCAATGGATGCGCTTCAGGTAGGTAGACGGGTTCTGAAATTTGGAACATTATATCAAATTGAAATTGCTCGTAAAGCAAAAAAAATGTTTCGGAGAGTCTCGAAAAGAGCGGGAGCAGGCGAGGAAAACCATCAGTTGGCTAGTGCATTTCTTACACTAAGACGGCGGGGGGAGCAAATGCGGCCTTCTCCCTCTCCCATTTTATATGAATGCCTTCAATTTTCGCCCAACATAAACAGAAACCATCGTTTTCTTTTTTCAGGCCTTCATCAGCTCAGTGGAGTTAAATCCAAATCTAACGGCAGCATGGACAGACCTCGGAGAGTTATACGAGCGCAACACTCAATATCAAGATGCACTGGATTGTTTTAGAAAGGCATTGGAAAGTGATCCAGGTACTAAAGAAGACTGAGCTAGTGGGGTGTTATTAGAAGGTGTTCTTACAAACTGAATAAGGGAAATTGATAAGAGATTATTTCATTTTTGAAATCCAAGTGAGGGGAGGAAGAATAAGTGGCAGGAAATGACGCGTTTTCTATGCGATAGTCGTTCTGGCACAACGAAAAATGACCTAGTTCTATGTGAAGCGCGATACAATCATAAGAAAAATAGAAAACCTTCGAATGCGTGTACTTCTTGCAAGACGAAAGTGCTTTTTTAATAGTTTTCTTCTTTCGGCGGTATTCTTGCTTATCAAAAAAGAAGACAGAATCACTGGCAAAGCGAACAAGAAGAGACACGACTAGACCAGGAGTGCAATATGTTCTGTTCTCTTTTTAGCGGAAGGCGATAAATTAGTTTCTGGTGTTCGTCGCATTGTTGTCTGGTAGAATATGGTCCTGGTAAGAAGAGAACAAGTGAGTAGAAGATTGCGAAGAGCTAGGTTTATAGAGATTAGTAAAAAAAAAAAGAAGTGAAACCTAGAGACTAAGAATGGAATTCCAAAGTGTCTGTGACTGTCTCACAACCATGCATGAGCGGTTTTTCAGACGGCAGGGTTTTGAGCTATGTTTGAAAACGCGAAAGTTGGGGTTTTTTGGAGTTTCCCTCGCAAAACGCTATTTTGCTCAACCAACCATCTTCGGCCCCATGAGTATTCTTTTTTGTTAGCAAACGAAAGTTGCTAGATGCTACCAACACAATTAGGCATCGTCATAATAGAGCGCAACATTTATTTATGGCTAGACAAGAGAGAAAAAGATAGGAAAACAAGAGTTAGTGAAGATGTTCCTTAATGAAGCCACCCATTGAAATTAAACAAACACACTAACTAACAAAACAGAAATTAACCGATTCCATAGTTTCAGTATCGCCTGAATGTATCAAAACGCGTGTCAACTGCCTTGAAAAGGTTGACTCGTTGACATGCCCACCACGCCCACCAGGTCATGTGATCCCGGGAACTTTCGACCTGACCATTCCATCACTGAAAGATTCATATGTGCAACCAATACCGCTGGAGTTGCGTACACGACAAGATGCACAATATGCAGTAAGATTTGAAATACAGTACCGGTCAATAAGATATACAAAACAGAATTTTTAGTTGATTTTAGCTATTTTCTATTTTAGTCTGGAGCTCGGCTGTCAAGTTTTCAATCACTATGGAAACTTTGGAGGTCATAAAAATATCCAGTTTGAAAACGTTGCATTCACATATTTTTTAAAAGTGTCCTTCAGAAATCGACAAATAACGGGAAAACTAAGAATTTTCTAAAAATCCTGTAAACTCAAAGTTTACAATCTAGGTCTGTTTTAAAAACTTCAAGTTTCAAAGTGATTGGACACTTGAGAGCCGAGATCCAGATTCCTGAAAATTATCAAAATCAACTGAAAAACGCATTTTCTGTTATTGACCGGTGCAGTCGATTGAAAGCAATGTTAACTAATTGTTATTTCAGGAAGGAGAGGTCATGTACGACAACGCTTTCTGGGATCTGTGGGAGGACTTGAAAACCGTCGAGTTTGAGGTTTCAGAACAAATCATGAATAGCCAACTCGAAGCTCGTCCAATGGAAGAACTTGAAATCGACGTCTTACAATTGCTAAGAGCTAATGAAGAGTCATTGGTGAAAGCAGAACGAGAGGTGCTCGAATGTTTGGAAACGACAGAGGTGCTATGGAAGGTAAGAGAGAATTTGTGATGCATAAACAAAATAGGCACACGAAGAAACACACAGGGAGAGCAAAGCCTCTCATTAGCACGTGGTAACTATGACAGCCCTACTTGAAAGAAACAGAAAATAGGAAAAGATAGAGAGGGGGATTGGATGATGCACCACTCCACAAAAAGGCTTTAAAGTGAAATGAAAAAAAAAAGAGAAATTTTATACGAAAAGGAGAAAATAGCGAGACGCCTCGCCTGAATCTCAAAAGATCGAATTGACGAAATAAGCCTAATTATGAGGTTCTCGCCTTCCTTTTTCTGAAACACACGCGAGAAAGCCATTTGAACAAAAAATCACGTGTTACGCGGAGTAGAACAGAATAGCTGAGACAGAGGCACACATACACATATACACTCCATTTTTTTAAAAGAAATAGGAAGAAGAGAGGAATAAAAAACATATTGAGGCATGAGGCACGTGACAGACTAGTAGGAGCGTTTTCTAAACATACACAAATGAGAAACACAATTATTTCTTTCAGGAAAAAGTGATCGAGGCTGTGGTTCCAGAAGTGTGTCGAGAGATGCCACGTGTCACTGTGGAAATGATTGATCACCTTCGCGATCATGGACACCTTATCGAGAATCCAAGATGTTACCCATACCCATTCCTTCCAAAGGTTGTGTTCAACGAGTTGCCAGACAGCTACAGTCTCCTTTCGGAAATCTTCGTCTCTTTGGATGTGCCTGGCTCAGAAATCAAGCAAATGATTGCCAAGCGAGCCTTCCACAATAACACCACCTACGTTCCGATCTTTGACGAGTTTGCCAAACTGCCAGAGCTACCCAAAGGTCCAGCAAAGCCGATTGCAACCGATGAAGATGTGAAAACCGCCTTGGAGAAGAACGAGCGTCACCCGTTCATGATGAAGACACCGATTCTGACAGTGGAAAATCGTAAGGAGGCTAGTAGCATGGAACTTCAACGCTACTTGGACAACTCCACAGTTGCTTGCGTTCGTGGATTAACTGGTTGTCTCCGTCTAGACCTCTCCATGTTCTCCACCAGAGCAGTAATGGAGATTGATCCAAACCAAGAGATCGAAGTTCGCACTCAATACCATTTTGCGCCAGAAACCAACTGCAACCATGCCAGACAAGAAACATGGAAGTGTATCAGCGACAAGTCCTACACAACTCTCGCCAGATACGGACAGTACCAGGCAGAGTCGTTCCGACACACTCTTCGAGTGGAAGCTGAGAAAATCCGCAGACACGGTGGCAACGGTGGACGTGGACCATCCCCAAAAAGAATGAAGCTCAATAGACGGGCACCATCTCCACCAAAGGAATTGAAGAAAATCAAGTTTGGAACTAATATTGATCTCTCCGATGAAGTGAAGTACGGGAAGCATTTCAGTGTAAGTAGGATTTGATTAAACTTGTTAGGAAGACACTAGATTCCAGAATAATTCTCTCACCTTCATTATTTTAGGAACTCTCCAAGCTTCCTGCATTCTGCCGTCTCATTGCTGGATCCAACCTCCTCTCTCATCTCGGTCATCAGATCCATGGCGTCAACACTGTCCAACTGAACATGGGAGTTCCTGGAGCTCGTATCTCGGCTCGCCAAACACCAAATCACGTTGCATTGGTCAATATCAACATAGGACCAGGCGACTGTGAATGGTTCGCGGTTCCCTATAACTATTGGGGCAAAATGGAACGCTTGTGTGAGGATCGAGGAATCGACTTCACACAAGGAATCTACTGGCCAATCATGGAGGACTTACTCAAAGAAGGTGTTCCAGTGCATCGGTTCACTCAAAAGTCTGGAGATGTTGTTTATGTGACTGGAGGAACGATTTACTGGATGCAAACCACTGGATGGAGTAACAATATCTCGTGGTGTGTCGCACCATTGAATGCCACGCAGATTAGAACCTCACTTCTAAGCTACGAGTGGAACAAGCTTCGTCGCGTGAAGTCCTCCATTCCGATGCAATTGCTCTGCTGGCAAGTGGCGAAGAATGTGAAGTTCACCAACCAATCCACCTTTGCGGCTTGCAAAGGAGTGTTAATCAGGTGAGAAAAAGCCTTCGCTGCTCTTTTTCCTCTCCTATCCCATCAGCATCCGTTGCCTTGGAGACATACCCGACGGAAGAAGTTAGAGAGTTTTGGGGTGGTAGAGAAATATTAGAGAAACATTAGAGGCCTACATAGCAAGGAAGTGAATTAACGTGACTCTTAAAATTAAACATTATTTTCCAGATCAATGGCCTTCCTTCAAATCGTCCACGACTACCTTACCTTGAACAAGAAAACTATCAAAGTCTATCCAAGAGGGCCGGCCGAAGCGTCCCATTTCTGCAGATACTGTGAATGTGAAGTCTTTGGTATTTTGTTGGTCAAGGAAATCTCGAACAACTTCATTGTTTTCTGTGTCTACTGCGCCAAATCGTGAGTTTTCGGTTTTTCAATGAGAACTACAATATCGGTCAATGAGATTTACAAAAACGTAGATTGAAAACATTACATTCACTGAACTTTTTGAAAATTCCAAGTTTTTTCAGATATCTGCTAATTTAAGAAAAGTACCTGCTTTTTTCACGTTTTCACTACAAAACAGGGAAAAAAGGATTTCCTTCAAAAGTTGTCAAATAGCGGAAAAACCAGCAATTCTCAAAAAAATTATAGAATGAAATTATAAAGTTTTCAATCAAGGTTTATTTTATAATCTCAAAAAATTTCAAAGTGATCGGACACTTGACAGCCAAGCTCTAGACTCCTTAATATAGTCAAAATCAACTGAAAAATACGTTTTTGAAATAGGAACCGCATAC